AATATTGAAGTCATATATGAAGTGCTAGACTATTAAAAAAAAAAAAAAAACACAAACAAAAAAATAAAAAAAAAATCCCCCACTTGGCGTTTTCATGAATATCCGCGGCTTCACCACCAGCTTCCCTCCCTCCCTGTCTCTCTCTCCTCTCCCTCTCCCCTGCCACAGTGGTCTCCCCCAGCCAACCCCCCCTCCTCCCACCACCTCCTCCACCACCACAGCCTCCATGGAGAAGCCCGTCACCCCTCCTCCTCCTCCTCCTCCTCCCTCCACAGTGTGTCCATTAATCTCATACAACCGCTCCTCCTCTCTCCATCGGTACCCCTCCTCCCCCTCTTTTATTTTTATTTTTATTTTTTTTATTTTTATTCTCCTCTTATTAGCAGCAACACACCGATGCTCTGTTTCAACAGTCAGCCGTCATTGCTCTCCATCTATGACCCACCCACACACACACAGCACATTTTTTATTGGAACACACCACTCATATTAAAAAATAAATAAATAAAAAAAATCACAATAAGCATCCATGTCTCCTCTTTCTTTTCTTTTTTTTTTTGTTCTCACTCCTGTTTGCTGCGTCCTTTTACAGCCATTCAAGGACACGCTGCACATCTACCCAGTGGAGACATGAATCATGCTGTTCTTTTTGATTTCATCTTGGATAAATTATATTTAAAAAAGAAATATGAACATGAGATTTTTTTTTATTTTTGTTTGTTTTCAAGCGACACTTGATGACTTTATTGGTTGCGAACAGTTCATTAGTGATTCACTGTTTGGTAAAAATGTCAGAAATGAGTGAAAAATAACCCCAAATCACATTCACATTGTTTTTTTGTTTTTTTTTTGAAACACAGTTTGTTGGTCAGCTCTGGAAGTAAAGACAGAAAATCCTCATATTTCAAACAGCTGGAACCAAGAGAATATTTGTATCTTTTCTTTTAATGGAAGAAAACTTAAAACAATCATATATTAAATTAACTGATTTTAATCGATTGATTGTGATGGCATCATCCTCTCATGATCACAGCAACATCAACATTCTTAACTTGACTTTCATGGGTGTAGATTTAATTTGAACATCAGGGTGAACACATTGGCCAGGCCTCCTTCTCTCCCAAGAAATGTTAAGCACTCAATTTTGTGCACTTTTATGAACCGATTCATACTTTTTCTGCATCAATTTATGACGGAACGGTCTGTACTCATGCAAAAGAAAACACCAAATTCAGCTTTTTTCAAATTACAAGTCCTTTGCTTCTTTGTCTTTAGTAGAGAAAGGACAAACTCAAACTGATTGGAACATACCCCCTGCTTTTCCCCTCTTTGAAATCTATGCCTGTGCTTACTTTTGGCATTGAGAGAGCTCCGGATTGTCAGCACTGCAGCTACACAATAACACAAACTGACGCCACGACATCCAAATTAACACACAAGCAGTTCTGCATGAAGCTGTGACGTTATTCTGTTATTCTCCCATCAGCTTTTATAGGCATTATCTAGATTTGATTTATGCCCCGGACCTGCGCTGATCGTTTCCTATTTACAAAAGTGACTGCACAAAGAAGCTTTACCTCAAAAAATCCTGCACAGACCACTAAATCAAACCCACCAATTAATTATGAAGGAGAGAGAGGGAGAGCAGCCCAGCAATTAATTATGCAAGTGAAGGAGAGCGATGGAGAGACAAAATGAGTCAGGACTCAGAGAAACCGAGTGGAAAAGTAAATAAAGTAAACACAGGATGAGATGGTAAAAAAAAAAAAAACGATTCCGGTTTATTCTACAGTGCACAACCTAATACGAGTCTCACAACTACATAATAAATACAAAATAAAATACACTGATTGTCTGTTGAAAAACACACACAAGAACTAACATGATGTGAAAATTTTCAAAGCAGCAATGATAAAAGTTGGACTGGTCAAACTTCTTATTGAGCTTCACATCAGTTTTGGAGCTAAAACGACTAATCTGAATAAATCAGGAGAAGATTGCTCAGCAGATATTCTGATGTTTAGGTAATGGTCAGTTTAACATTGTTCTGGAACCATTCTATATCACTGCACACTGAGCATATATACAGCTATGTCTTGTTCTGGATAAAATATCCAATCTGAAACGTGGACTTCTTCTTTTTTTGGGGGGGGGGACTAAAAACCAAATTGATTGGTAGATTGATCAATAGAAGCCCACAACAGATCAGGTTTACTCGGAAATGTCTGTAATCGATACTAAAGCACCACTAATAGCACATTATTGTTGTTGATGGCAATGATGGTACAGGAGAGCTACAAATAGCTTATCTATGTGCAGATATTCCTTTGTGGACAACACCTTCTGATATATATGTACAATAACTACATATCAGCTATTCCATTTTGTTCTGCCAGTTTAAAAGCCCAGCTGTAGTTTCTATCGTACCCTTGAAATATAAATACTTTCTAATTGAGCCAAGACATTCTCCACAAAAATCAAAGTTTGTCTAATTCACATTTAATCATTCAGTCATTCTATCCACTGGACGGCACCTCTACAGGGTCCTGTTTAAATTCAAGTTACATTTCATGTTCTATTGCATTGGACACAAAAAGTTTTGCACAGTCAGCATCAAACTCTACTGAAGGAGGTTCTGTAACACTGAACTAAAGAGCCCTACATGTGGACAGCTGTAACCTGTCATCATAGGATAAGTTTTAGGCATTAAAATGTTTCACCGTCATCCAAAATCAAACCAAATCAAGTTTATTGTCATGTTGCTGTACATAGACAGTAGTACAGGCAAGATGAGAGAGCGTTTCTTCAGGATGCAATACCTTAAAGCAATTTAAATAAACAAGTGTTTGCATATCTGGATCAGCAGTTCAGCATTCTGACAGCTTGTGGCATGAAGCTGTTGTTCATTCAGGAGGTTCTTCCTTTAATGTTCCGGAAACGTTTGCCTGATGGCAGCAGTTCAAACAGTTCATGGAGAGGGTGTCAGGAGTCCCTGACAATCAGTGCCCTGCTCCTGCAGCAGCTCTGGAGAAGTTCTTGGACAGAGGGGAGGGAAACTCTGATGAGCCTCTCAGCTCCTCTAACTATCCTCTGCAGGACTTTTCTGTCTGACATACAGTACTGCAGCTGGAGGACCATGTTGAGATGCAGGATGTCAGAACGCTCTCCACCACACCTCTGTAGAAAGTTCTGAGGATGCTGTGTCAGGAAATGCAGTCTCTGCTGGGACCGTTTGATGATCGCTGTGGTGTTCTTATTCCAGCTCAGGTCCTGCGAGATCTGCACTCCGAGGAACTTGATGTTCTCCTCTCTCTCCACTGTGCAGTCGCTGATGCTGAGAGGAACATGCTCAGGATGTGACCTCCGGAAGTCGATGATCATCTCCTTCATTTTGTCCACGTTAAGCAGCAGGTTGTTCTTACTGCACCAGCCCTCTAGGTGTTTCACTTCATCTCTGTACATTGATTCTTTGTTCTTGCAAATAAGTCCTACTACTGTGGTATCATCAGCAAACTTGATGATCTGGATCCCCTCATGTGTGGCTGCACAGTCGTATGTTAGCAGTGTCAACAACAGTGGACTAAGTACACAGCCTTGAGGAGATCCAGTGCTCAGCGTGATGGAGTTGGAGATGTTCCTCTGACTCGGACAGACTGGGGTCTTTCAGTCAGAAAGTCCAGGACCCAGAGACATGTGGCGGTATCCAGGCAGAGTAGGAGGAGTTTCTCTATTAGTCTCAGGGAGATGATGGTATTAAACCCTGAGCTGAAACCAATGTACAGGATTCTAGTGTAGGTGTCTTTATTTTCCAGGTGGGTGCTGACTGAGTGCAAGGTGGTGGATACTGCATCCTATGTGGAGCGGTTAGGGCGGTAAGCGAACTGAAGGGGGTCAAGCGATGCAGGAAGGCTGGCTGTGATGTGTGGTTTGACGAGCCGTTCAAAACACTCCAGCACAATCGGTGATCAGTGCGATGGGGTCATCCAGACAGGCTACAACTGATTTCTTTGCCACTGGAACTCTGGTGGATGTTTTGAAGCATCTGGGGACAATGATGTTGAAAATGTCAGTCAGCACATCTGCCAGCTTGTCAATGCAGACTCTGAGCACATGTCCCGGGATGTTGTCCGGTCCTGACGCTTTTCGTGGGTTGACACTGGCTTGGGTCCTCCGCTGCGCTGATGGATGATGATGATCCAAGATCTGTTCTGAAATTTGGTGTTCTAACCGACTGATGGTCCTGGTTAGTTCAGCTCAGATCAGATCTTAGGATACTGACATTTAGAAGTTATTTTAGCATTATAGTGTTTATGAAATAAATGACCTAAGCACTTTAAATGAACCAATGCTAAGTGGGCTGAGTCGTCTGCCATACAGGCTTCTGATGGTAGTGTATGAGCTGTCAGTCTCCAAACAGACTGGAGGTGGCGCTGCTGACCAAAGCAAGACAATTCATGCATCTAGACAGAAACTCTGACCTGTAAGTCTGTGACAGGAAACCAAACTTTTTATTAATACCTGCAAGTGACATTTAAATAAGTGTTTCATACACATGACTGTGGCATTAGTCAGCATTAAATCCAATGCCACAGAGAACCTATCAACTGTTTCTCATCTAGTTTGTCCCCGTCATAAGGTCAGTTAGGGTGGAGGTGTTTTGTCATCAACAGATCTTTTGAACTGCTGTCAGAGGCGTACAGAGAAATAAGACTTTCTACAACTTTACAAATTATAAATATATACTGTGTTATCATTGAAATTAGGAAGAGGAATAAATCTACAGTTGAGATCAGCCTATAATAGAAATAGAAATTGCCACATAAATAATACTTTCTTCTGCACTTGTTTTGTTTACTTGTTTGAATAATTGAAAATGAGAGAACTTGCTGGTCAATTCTATTTTCTAATCTTCTTCCTCATCCTCTTCATTATCACAGTCTTCATCCTCTTCATCATCATAACCCTCTCCTGAATCAGGGACCCACAGTCCAGAGTCAATACACCTCCTCAGGTGGTATTTTCCTTCCTGTAGAGAGAACGTCGTGACGCCAGACAGAATAAACGAACAGATAGATTTCGGTGCAATTTTGTGCAAGTTGATGATCATTTTAGGATAAGTCACACTAACCTCAACGTCCAGCTTGTTCATAGCTTCCTGCAGCATCTGAATGTTCTTCTCATCAAAGCTCCTCTGTATTTCCTGCGGGACATAACCTGTCAGAGCACTGACATGAGGCAGTAAACCTACAAGCTGACCACAGCTTACTGGTAAATCAAGGAGGAAGTTAAGGGGAAGAAATGCTGTCATTGTCATGTTTAAATTTCATATGATGACTTTAATACTTGCTTCTCTTTTCGCCAATTTTATTAACTCTGGACCCAATGTGATTGTACAAATAACTGAAAAGAAAGTTTTCTTCCAAGTAAATGTAAAAACTTAGTAGATAGTGCTATTTACCTTTCACAGAGATTTCATCACTGGCTGATAGAGTTCATGCTGTTGACCTGCACTGACCTTCTGTTTGTATCCAAATGGCAACACAGTTTACATCAACTAACTTCCAACTCTACAGTGATTTCCATCCATCCATTATCTATACACCACTGAATCCTCACTAGGATCACAGGGGGGCTGGAGTCTATCCCAGCTGACTCAGGGTGAAGGCAGGAGACACCCTGGACAGGTCACCAGTCTATCACAGGGCTACACTTAGAGACAGACAACCAAGCACACTCACATTCACACCTACGGACAATTTAGAATCACCAATTAACCTCAACATGTTTTTGGACCTTGTGGGAGGAAGCCGGAGAACCCGGAGAGAACCCACGCTGCACGGGGAGAACATGCGAACTCCACACAGAAAGATCCCGGGCGTCCTAGTTTGGACATAAACTGGGGCTCTTCTAGCTGTGAGGCAACGGTGCTAACCACAGAACCACCTCAATAACAATAATAATAATGACACATTTTATTTAGAGGCACCTTTCTCGCCACTCAAAGACACTGTATATACACTACATAAAGCCATTAAAAGAAACAACATTAAAAATAAGTAAAATCACTAAATTAAACAGAACAATAGGCTGCAGGTGGAGTAGGCAGTCCTAAACATATGAGTTTTAAGTTGTGATTTAAATTGGGGGAGTGAGTCGATGTTTCTGAGTTGGGATGGTAATGACGCTCTGCTCCCTGTGGTAGTGAGACGGGCGGAGGGGACGGACAAATGTATGGAGGAGGAGGATCTGAGGGAGCGGGACCTTGCAGATGCAGTCCTTGTACCAACCTCACAGTCGTCAAAGTAACAAGATTCTTTTTAAACAGGTCATTAAAAGATGAAGAGACTTTTACGCACCCTTCAGCCTTGAAAAGAAACATTTTCTTCAGCTGTCTCCTAATCAGAAACAATTTTGGTAAAGAAATGAATCTGGCCTTGAGACTCTGAGGATGTTTGGAACAATGTGTTCAAGCTAAGATTACCAACTCAAGAGAGAACAGAGAGAACAACTTCATATTGTCTTATCACACCTGGGTAAAATACCAGAGAAGAAGCTGAATATCTCTTCAAAATATTCTTGGCTGCTAGCAAGAAAGTTAGAACGTCTAAAAGTTTTAACTCAAAAACTCCAACAACAGGACTGCAATTATCCATAAAATAAAGTCTACTGAGAAGTTGACCTTCAGCTTATCACTAGAATATGATCAGCATGTAAAACACTGGAACAACATAATATGTAACTGATTACACAAACATAAAAAACATGTTATCTCAAAGCATATTATGGAGAAGATAAAAGCAAATTCCTTTCCTCTGCTCAGAATAAACAGCCTACTTTTACTCTATGCCCACTGTTAGGCAATACTGTAAGTAAAGCCAATATGATGTGCTGTTAAAAAAAGGAACATAACCTGTAGCCAGGTGGCTAATGATCGCGTGTAAGGGTTGATCAGCAGTTTTGATTTATCTGGCTTGTAGCTTCAGCACAACAAAGTGCCGAATTTGATGTGCTGTGTAAACAACAGTAGATGCAACTAGAGACACTGTGTTCTCTCACAGCCCCAGGGGACAGAGAGCGGGGCAACAACCTCTTTTCAGCTGCAGTATGCGGCTACATGAAATCTTGCTGAAGTGAATTCATCTTAGTTTGCAGCGAGTGAGGGAAACTCACATCTTCTAAACATGCAATATTAAATTCTGGGATGAAAAGAGGGAGAGTCTGTTACAGACTAAACTGGATCTTATCAATGAGGACTAATTGATTGGCTTGGGCAAAGACTCTATTGAATTACTTCATAGAATCATGCTGCTGTCTAGCAGCAAAACAAAGACGAAGAATGACACCACACATTGTGATCTGTAATGAAACACAGAGCTGAAATACATCCACTGTAGCTCTGCACACAGTCCAATGTCTGATTAAGAGAACATGTCACTTCTTTGGCATAATGCAAACACATTCTTCCTTAAGGTTTGAAGAAACCTTTTAGAAAAACCCAACACTCTCCAACATGCCGGCAATTTAATGTTGGCTGTTTGGAACAAACATGATATGCTTTGTAAAGTATAGTCTATGATCCATTGTTCATTCGTCCCATCTTGTAAATTTACTTCAATTTATCTCAATAAAGGCTTAAAAATGATCATTTACCTGAATTTCCCTGCGTTTTGTTAATATTATTCTACTTTATTCCATCTTTTGCTCAAGCAAGTCGCCTGCTGCTTTCATTCTTCCATGAGAATTGTTTCTTATTTTATTATTGTGGCATTCGCCCAAAAAGACAGCGTTCAACATACTGATTGAAAAAGAAGAAGCATTCTCAAATTCTCAGAAGTGTGTGTGTGTGCATGTTTGTGTGCATGGTTTACCTTTGGTAGTGACTGATAGACTTCTACAGGGTCTAAACCTCCAGGGCCCAGTCTCTTCTGCTTCTCCTCTTCCTCCAGCTCCTTCATAGCGTTCTCCATACGAAGCTGTGCGCAGCTGCGCACCCGCTCCTTCAGCAACTCCAGCTCATGGTCGAATGCATCCTGGTATGGTTTCTCTGCCGTCTGACATGAACACAAAAACACAGAACGACCAATTGAACCATTGAACAAAAATAATTTTCCCCGTGAAAAATGAAAACACAGTAAAGGATGTTGTAACAACTGCAGACCCTGATCTTTGAGAAGAATTGTCTGAAGCAGCCTCTTGCGTCAACCTTGAGTGTCCGAGCCAAATCCAAGATGAACTGCATGACGATGGCTTGATGAGCTACCTGCTCCATGAGGGCGTGTTTCTACAAATACACGGAGAAATTAAAAGGCTGCACTTTCTAGAATTTTGGGGGATGTTTTTTTCCCCCCTAAATATGCATACACACAGACACACGGTACTCACCTCATCGATCTCAAAGTCAATACAGATGACAACAAGACAATTAGCCGTCTCTTCGCACACCAGATGCGGGTTGTCCGATAGATACTTTTGACTGTCGTCCCAGCGTCGCAACATACCTGGTAAACACACACAGTCGCATAATATGCATGACGCTACATTCAAATTGACTTTTGAAGGTTATATAAGTCAAATATACTTCAAGCCCTTTTTAACACCAAAAAGAATGAAATTGATTTTTCTGTTTCACATTCATAGTGCCCAAAGTGTGAGACATATCAATGAAGACAAACAAGAACAATAAAACTTAGATTTATGATTCAATTATTAATTTATCACTAAACATAACCACTACTGAGAGAAGCAGCAGAAAATGGAAAATGAAAAACATGTATTAACTAACTATACTTCCTACAGCTTTCTGTAAAACATATTTTTCACCTTTTTAATACGTTTAAGAGAAAGTGAAGTGGATGGTTTTTCAGGCGTTGACCTGCAGAGACCTAAACTGGCTGTAGTCATGAGGACACTGGTGCAACGTGACTGAGACTAAAAATTGCATTTCCCTTTTTAAAAATGATGATTTTAACCAAGAAAAGGGGAAAACAGAAACAGGCTTGGGGGTCAGCATTTGTAGGAGGAACTCTGAGACGTGTGACTCAACAAAGCTAATGTTGTTTTTATGGTTATCTCAACTTCTGCTTTGCTTTTAAAAACAAAGTCTGAGTTATAAAGTAGATGTGAGAACTCACAAGCACAGAAGACCTAAATGTGTGATCACACTGGATTTTGCTCCTTGCTAATTTCAATGAGGAATAGGGAAAGATGTATTTGCTTCTAGCCATGAATCTCCTTCAGTCTTAATAAACTTAAAAGTTGTGAGGCTACCTAACGTCCAGCTAGTTTGAGAGACTTTGACATAACATTACTGACAGCAAAGGATTTTTTCAGTTTTTGGAATGAGGATGTTAATCTACTAGTTATGGGGGCATTAACGGAGCAAAACTGTCCATGCGTATGGAGAGTTGTCTGTCTGTATCTCAATCCGTTCGGCCGAAGGGAGATTTGTCAATGTGTAAAAGAAGTTGTCAATGCGAACTGGAATCGGCAAAAGCTGTCTCACAATTTGTCTGTCTGTGATCAGGTTTTCAAATGTGTGAAAAATCTGCTCATCTGTATTAAAATTTGGACATGTAATAAGAGCTGTCAATGCATACACGTGGACAAATAGTTTTGCTACATTAATGCCCTCATAACTAGTCACGTTAGATCTTGCAGTTTGTAGACTTTCAGGTTTAACACGTTCAACAGTATTTTTAGTTCCAGCTGTTGTTTTAAGACAACATGCAACGATATTCTCTCAGACAAAAGCTACATCGTTGTGAAAAATAAAATACAGGGTCGATTGATTATCAAATGTGTGTTTGAGTATTTTGAATGATTTTGTTTTAAATTTAAAAATGTGCTACTTTCTGCCCATCAACACTGAAGAAGAAATATTGATAAGTACTCTTTAAACATTAAACATACATAAACTATAGTTTTTCTACACCTTTTTTCCCCCTTAAATTTGTGTTCTTTGATATTTTGATCCCCTAGATTTCTTTACAGCAAGTGTATATTGGTTCCAAATACTGGTTACCAGTGTTACCCTGAAAAAACACCAGTTGAGCAAATACTGTTTGCAATTTGGGAAATCCCATGTTTTCCAGGAACAGTGAAGAGTAAAAGCCAAGCTATCTTATCCTCTGCTGCTTCAAATTTTCACTATTCTTCTGACCATTTCTCTATTTTGAGTCGCCCAACAATATGAATGTGCAACGATGAATCACAGGAGCACCCTTTAAAAGCATCAGCATACGTCGCACCTACAAATATCCAATCATATTTTAAATATAACCCCACTTTCCTCAAAAATACACTGGTTTACACACCCTAAAGTAATCACCATTTTACACTTGCATCTTTCTACAAACCCCAAAGTCTTCACTATTCACTGTGTGTTTCTCACTTTGTCATGTTGTCCAACCCACCTGTAAGTAGTGTGGCCAAGTATCTCACAACTACTACCTCGTATCACACATTCTACACTTCAGAAACAGGAATGTGACTGGTTGTCATGGAACAAGTGTCTAAAAATAGCCTTCTGAGTTTGCCATTTCTTCAAACTGACATCAACTTCTCTGTTTAGCGAGTTGGGGAGGAAGTAAGTAGGCAAACTATTTTTCACGCAGCCCACAAAAAGTTAACTGTCTTGAGACACTGACTAAAATTTATTTTTAAAAAGTATGATACACAATTTCCATGACATGAAAACTGAGTGACTCGGGTGTTTAAGGTCACAGAGTAGCACACAAAGAACAGAGCAGGGGGAGGGACGGTGGGTGGGAGAGGCCAACGTTAGGCAGCATGATGACAAACACAACACACTCAGCTTTTATCAAAACTAAAACATACCAAAGTGTTTGATTTCCTTTGCATATTTCTCCACAAAGGTCTTGTGCTTCTCCACCTTTTCCTCTTCCACTTCCTCCTTTGTTACGGGTTTGATGTTGAGTACACTCTAGGAAAAAAGAAAAAAGAAATAAATCAGGATACTGAGAAGTCACATCAAACCTTCTGCTCCTGATGCCCTGTATTACCTTGCTGAAACCTTCTTTGCTGATGGTGTCTACATTCCAGGGTAGTTTCTTTTCTTCTCGTCGGTATTCCTCAATCAGTTTCGCATACAACTTTTCATCCTTTTTCAGTTTTTTCACCTCGGCCTGGACTTTCTTCAGCTCAGCCTCTCTCTCCTCATCTTCCTCTCCCTCCTGCCGTCCATCTTCCAGCTCTTTAAGTCGACCAAGGGCTTCTTGTAATAGCCTCTTGCATTCTGAAAAGTTACTTTCCAGGTCTTCGCCTCTTTGCTGAAACTCAGCCATTTTCTCCAGCCGGGCCTGTTGTGGCAAGTTAGAGTGGATGGAAGGCAAAGATGGTAGTTGAAAGCATGGAAGAATCACATTACAAGTGAAACAAGGAGAATAAGAGGAGAACAGAGGTAATCAGGCAGGGAGAAGATGTTTAAGGGTGACGTCAGAGGGAAAAAGTAGACATTTTCAAAACAAATGTGTGTGAAACAGGAGCAATCTGCACATAAACAGAAAAAATATATACCCAAAAGCTGAATTTTGTAATGTGCAAACTATTGTATTTGTTAAAAAAACGATATCAAAACAGTCCCTGATGTGGGAGAAGGCTTTAAAATACCATGTAGATCTAAATTATTATGGGTTTTGACTTTCTCCCTTAACACACAATAAGTGTACGAATGATTTTATCCTAACTAAAATATTCTAACATATAAACAACCAAATTTGTACACTTGCAAACTCAAAAAAAGCTGTGATCCTGAACCTCTGTGCTCCATGGCTGTCACAGCTTGCAATGTTTCAACAAGTGGCTTTCCCACGTAATGGGAAGTTTTCCATTCTCTACTGATAAAAGAACGTAGAAAGAAAATAGGAAAAGGAAACTAGGGGGGGTGCTGGAAACTATGTGTCACTCTAGACCTTCCGTCCAAGTCAAGAGACAGCAACAAGTTAAGCTAACTACCCAGACGCAGAGCCGACAGACAGAGTTTGGCAACTGGAGTTTTTGTAGAAACCTACTAGTTATATACTTTATTCACTCACTTGTCTCTTCTTGCCTAATGATTTGCCCTCAAACCAAGGTAATATTAATGAAGGCTTGTTTTTGTAGAGCCTGACTGCTACTGGATTTTTATAGACTCAAATTATTGCATGTATTTGAAAGTTAAAATGAAAATTCAACGCCCCAAACATGTTGACTAAATGAAGCCAACGCAAAGTTCACAAACATATCAACTGTTCCCTCAGGTTACGACTGCAACACAGTCTTCATCTGTAGACGGAGACAGAGAAGGGATTAAGGCTGTGAGATGCTGGAGAAAGCTCCAGAAAAGGCTAGAGATCTTACAATGTGGCTGAAAGCTCTGGGCTGCAAGGTGGAGCAGTGGTTAGCACTGTCGCCTCGCGTCCAGGATCTTTCTGCGTGGAGTTTGCATGTTCTCCCCGTGCAGCGTGGGTTCTCTCCGGGTTCTCCGGCTTCCTCCCACACAGTCCAAAAACATGTTGAGGTTAATTGGTGATTCTAGATTGTCCGTAGGTGTGAATGTGAGTGTGCTTGGTTGTCTGTCTCTAAGTGTAGCCCTGTGATAGACTGGTGACCTGTCCAGGGTGACCCCTGCCCCCCACAACACTAGTGAGGATTAAGTAGTGTATAGATAATGGATGGATGGATGAAAGCTCTGGAAATATCTTGATCTTGGGTTTAGATCACTTTGTCAGACTATGACCTTGACATCTCTGCACTGTATTTTCCTGGTATTTGTTGGTGGACATATAAAAGCAAGTTATTGAAGCCAGTTTACATGCCAAGTTCTAAGTGTTTGACCTGGAAATAAGTGCAAAAGTATCAACAATCAAGTGCTACCCATTTTCTGTGATTCACTGTGAACAAATGGTGAACAGGGACACACATTTTGACTTGGTACAGCCAGTAATTACAGCTGTATTTAAACTTAGTCACGTTTTGATAGTTGTGTCAGCTGGAAGTTAACATTTGGACAAGCTTTCAGATTTCCCCTCGTGTTTTTTGGGGGCTTTTTAGGGATTTTAAACTGTTTTACTGGCTACACACCCAGCCTGCTTTGACCTTTGTCATACTTCAGGTGTCTATGAATGAGAAAGAATTTCCTATCTATAGTTCAGAAGAAGCAAAATTTCCCAATGGGAAACCCCCCAGAACACCACACACGTTGGGTTTCGCTTTTTGTTTCAGGTTTCACTGATCGCTGTTTGACTCCATGAGATCACTACACGCCCCATCTCACAGCAAAACACGCCCTTTGTTGACATTACGTCTGTCTTCGTTTTTATACAAGGCTTTGAATGCGGGGCTTTTCTTCATTTTACAATGTTGTACTGGTACTTTCACACATAGGACCGGAGTATTTCTGCTCTATGGTGTTTTAAACTCGCACATCTGAGTCACAAACTGCGACACCTGTTAGCCAAACTCTGTGTGTCTGGTTTGAACATAAAAGTGACTTCTACTGGTAAAACTAACCGGGAATGGGACTCCAAACGTCACGGCTAGTACAAGTGTCACTGCTGACCCGGTGTCTCATTCTGAACAGGCTCGGTGTGTCCACGTACGGACTGGTGACATCTTCATCGTCTGACACGTCGATGTGATCCCAGGAGCTGTAGTCGATGCTCATCCTGCGCTCGGGTTTTCGGTTTCACTGACAGCACAGGAACACGGTGAGGCTGCGAGGCGGTGGGTTGGTCTGACGAGGCATCAGCGAAGTGAGCAAGCAAGACTAAAAACGGAGTATTTTTTTTTTTCTTCAATCCTCTTAGAGACACAAGCAACAACAAGCCGGTTACAGAAATCCCCGAGTGTCCAACGGCAGCAGCGCGCGACGTGAAGCCAATTATTATACGTCATCAAGATGCGCGGAAGGATTTGTGTATAAAAGTGAGCGACGCGCGTGTGTACACATATATACACACTACATTGTTTTGATCAGAGTTAAAATCATGCATTTCTAAAAGCACCAACCCCAAAGCCATTAAATCCTCTGATAAACTGTAATGTCTTTAACTGTAACTGTGTTCTTGTATGTTTGTTCAAGTGTTTATCAGAGTTGTTTTTTTTTATTTAATTTTTTTAATTTCAATTTTATTATTTTGCACATTCTACACTTTATAAATAAAGTTAAATAAATAAATAAATTCCCACTACACAAAGTAACTGTACTTGTAGTGGCCAAAACACCAATAATGTGACAATGCTGTGTGTTTTTGCTGACATGTATTTTTATTTCTACTGTGAATGTAATAACACTGTCAAAATTGACGTACTGCAAGAAATATATATATATATATATATATATATATATATATATTGACAGTGTAATTTTTTCAGCATTTGTGTGTGTGTGTGTGTGTGTTTGTGTGTGTGTGTGTGTGTGTTTAAGGTATATTGCCTGATTTGTGACATGTTCATAGTTTAATAAATATTTGAAAACATAACTTTTAGTGGATCCATAATCAATATATTACACTGAACAGAAACATAACTGCAGCAGGTAAATGCATAAAAGTCTTTTCTGACTTAGAGAAAACAGTTAAAAATCTAAGATCAGGCCAATTTTAAGTGACAAAGATGCTGAAGTCCGCATCCACGCTTTTATTATGTCTCGTTTGGACTATTGTAATGCCCTTCTGTCAGGACTACCCAAGAAAAGTTTCAGAGTCCTGCAGATGGTGCAAAATGCTGCAGCTCGGGTTCTGACTGGAGCTGGAAAATTCGATCAAATGACACCGGTGCTGGCGTCTTTGCACTGGCTTCCATGTCAGGCTCGTGCTGATTTTAAGGTGCTTTTACTGACTTTTAAAATTTTAAATGGACTGGCACCCTCTTATTTATTCGATCTTGTCGCGCTGTATGCACCTTCTCGTGCCCTCCGCTCGCAAGGATCTGCACTGCTGACTGTGCCAAAGGTCAGGAAAAAGACTGTTGGTGAGCGAGCTTTTTCATTCTGTGCCCCGACACTGTGGAACAGCCTCCCTCTCGACATAAGACAGGCCTGCTCTGTGGATGTTTTTAAAGCAAAGCTAAAGACCCACATGTACACCTTATCCTATATGTCCTGAATTGTTGGATTGTGTTGCTTTATTGATTGTGTTTGATTTATTGCCTGTACAGCACTTTGACCAAAAGTGCTTTATAAATAAAATAATAATAATCATAATTATTATTATCTCTTTTCAATTGTATTGCTTAGAAAAGCGTTTTGTTCAGCCTATTCTGCACAAAACATCTTTGAGTCGTTGAAGCGATGACAAATTTTTAACCACTGAGTTAATTTACACCTGAGTCAGGTTTGGCATTAAAGGACAGTGATCAGATAGTGTGACCAGTACAGGCGACAAGAGAAATGCAAAAACGGACAGCTGGTATTTTGGATGTTAGAATGTCAGATAGAGCTGTATCCAGGGACTTGAATGACCACAATTCCAAGAATCATTTGAGGAAGCTCTGGACGGATGTGTCCAACAACATGGTCCCGACCTCCAAAATGCTCACCAAATTCTCTGAGCCCTTACGAAGAGTTGCACAACATTTCAAACTCTGTCTACGGATGTGTGACTATTTACTGACTTGTGATTTCTGCTCTATGACCCAACTCTCTATCCACAGTACAATGTGTGCTTGTTTGTCTTATGACATTCATTCTGTTGTAGAGAATGCAGTGTGTTTGAACAACAAATACTTATTCTGCTGTGTTAAATAGAGTGGATAGAATTTAATCAGTTATTACATGCTGCACTTATATTTTTGTTCGGAATATTATGTCACAAGTTTTTGACCACTTTTGTACTGTCTGTGTCTGTGAGATTGTGCTGCTCTGAGTTTGTGAGGGGGTTCTAAGGAGATTTCAAACCAAGCGAAGACAGGATGAGACAATTCACACTTTTAAACATGTGTGTTCACAGCTATGCTTTCGCAACTGCGAGCACAAGCTTTTCTCATCATAAAACCACAGGGCACTGAGCAGGAGTTCCAGGTCAGATGCCCAGGCATTTCCTCTGGAGGTGTTTTTTAGGTTTCTGGGGTAATGATCGCACTGTGACTATGAACACAATATTCAGTGATAGCAAGGAAAAAAATGAGCTTGCATTCCTATTAGAAGAGGTTTCCAAGTTGTTACACAGGATCGTTGGGGGTTGGGACATGAAAGATGGAGCTGGTGTACTTCCAGCCTCAGAAAAAAAGGAACACATTCCCTACTGTGAGAAAACATCCATGGCATGTAAACAAATCTCTTTACACTTTCCCTATGTGTACTTCCTCCATTTGTCAGCACCTCCAAGTCTGCCATTAACGTCCCATAAGGATGTTTTGCACATTTTCTTTTTCAGACCAGACCGTTTGGAAGACTTTATTCAATGTGCACAGTTACATTCGTGGTTCATCTGATATTTAGAAAACGTGGAATTTAGTGTTGCTTATCAAAGCTGTTGCAAAGAATTGTGACAAATGATTGCTCATTCCCGTTTAACAGCAACACATCAAATCAGTGACAGCTTCGAAGCTGTGGTGTCGCTAACAGGAACTATGAGCTTAGAGTAGCCTCATGACTAATCTAATTGACGAGAACCTATAAGCTTTACTCAGGTTTTACTCATAAAATAAAGTCAGTAACCTTTCTGACTTAAAAGAGATTTACAACTACTATATGACTTGTTTGCAGAGGTATATGTCTGAAATCTTTACAGGCTCTAATGCCATGAAGCAGAATGGGACACAACCAACTTAGATGCTCACTTGTTGAGTGAAATGCAACAAAATACAATGATGTAAACATTTACAGTGAGATGGACGAAATGGTTGGTATTCCAGTCACAGTGGACATAATGCAGGCTCTCTACAGGGGCTGACAGGGCTAAGACACATCTATTGCTAAGCCTACAAAGCAAATGAAGAGCAGTTGGAAGTCAGTACAGATGTGGTGGGTTTGGATTTCATCAGGTATGACAGGAATCTATCAACAGTTTCTGTTCTTTCCCCCCTCCTGTTTTTATCCACTGCATTTCTTCCTCAGAAGGGAGTCGAGGGAGGAACGGACGAAGAGGAGGAGGAGTAAATCATTTCTAGGAATGTATTTACTCACTTCACCCCCACACACAACGTCTGCAGTGGAGTTTCCTCAGACACGAAAAAGCCTCCAGCGTTCTGCAGGAGTAAAGATGGCGATGAAGAATCTCATAAACAGGAAATGTACAATCACTAAGTCCAGCATAATCAGTACTTGTGGGGTTCGGAGTAGTTACTTATTCCATGTGAATCTTGAGGTAAGCACATTCTCATGTGGGAAACTAGAATCAAAAGACTTGGATGCACCCTTTGGAACGTACAAAGCATAATAATTTATTCATAGTGAAAACAAATTCAAGGATTCAAGGAACTTTATTTGTCATGCCAGCTCACAGTCACGTTTGTGGTATGAAATTAGTACTTAGGTCCCGCTTTTATTTTATTTTATTTTTTTTAAAGAAAAAGCCTAATAAATAAGTACAACAGAACAAAAGCAAAACATACGTAAAATATATCATATAACTTGCAGTCTCTTGATAAAGTTCCAGTGTCCAGTCAACCATTTTTTGCTTGTATGGTTCCTCTTTTTCACTAACACTCAGCTCACAACTCAGTATAACCAAATAGACACTCTTATACATAAACACTCACAAATGCGCCCAAGCAGCTATTGTGGAGCCACTAGCTGTAGGTTGGAACAAAGTCTTTCTCGCACTTTCAGTGGTTTCACATGTAAACTGTGAGGTTAGGTGTGAAGACCATCACATCTGCACACCAGGCATTCTATTACCAGCACACCTCTAAATAAACCAACAACATTCTTTAGACAAACACATTTGACAAAAAGAAGCAGTAGAACAACATGTTCAAGCAGCTACACTGGATATAAACGCCACATTTCAATCTGATCTGATTCATCGACATAAATTTAGGTTTGGTTCCCTAAACAAATATTTAAAATTTTGCTGTTTTACGAATTGTGAAGAAAGTTAAAAAATCCGCTACACAGATAAATACTTAGAAACCTATAGAGTTCTGTCACACTTCAATTTAATATGCACCAATACACATGTAAAGCCTGTGTTTAGATCATGGAAATAATATCTAATTAAACAAGCTCTTACAATACAGAACTTAAAAGTTTGTTGGTCAGCTCTTTACACCCAGTAATGTATTTCAAACAGCAATGTTTCTAATCACATGCTTGTGTGTTTTTTTTCTCCATTTAATTATTTTTATGGATAACGCACCAGACAGCTGGTTTTCAGCTGCAGTCCTTTTGCAAGAAATGTCTTTAAACCAATGAAGTGACAGGAGTACAAACACAGGACACAACAGCAATATCAACAAAACCAGCACTTTACAGACAAGCTTATTGAACCAGAGGCCTCTTTCTCGGTACCAAACTCAAGGTTGTGCTTCAGTGAGCTGGTGATACTCTATATTTTAGTTATTCAGTTTGTTTTAAAAGACCTAAACAATGAGCTGAGTTGGCTCCAAGTCTGTGTGAAAATTATTTTGTGGTAACTTGAAAAGTTACAAATGTGTTGCACCACAAAGACACAGTTACAAAACTGAGGTGGACCCACTGTGGCTTCTGAATTATGACTCGTTTTTTTTTCCAAAACGTGTAAAACCCCGTAACGTCTGTCAAACTGTGGCACCAATGTTCTGTTATTGTGATGAGTGAGGCCTCCAGTAGAAAATACTCCTCAACAAGTTACTTTTGTTTAGGTAATGTTTACAAAAACCTACAAAATCAATGTTTTTAGGAAATGTCTAAAAAAAAAAAGTTTGTATTTGTGGCCTGTTTTAAAGTTGTACATCTTCAGTAAGAGTGAATGGGGGCTGAGTTGCCACTGACAAACTAATACATTGCTGGTGTTAGTTTGTACACCTGCTATTGTAAAGTTTTGCCCTTTTAACAGCATACATAATGAAATAATGAAGTAATATTAGCTTCAGACATCTCACTATAAACACTTCAATGCACGGCCTCAAACTGAAGTGTTTCTACAGCAGTTAAGTCTTTCTTTACAGTAAACTGGACCTTCTGCAGACACAGCAGTTTGGTGAAAGTGGAAATGACTTGTTCCATCCAGTATTTAGGATCCACAAGTTGAAACTCGACAAATCTTTTTTTAAATCACTGTGTCATCTGATAGTGTCAAGACATAACAAGAAGTGAGAGGGAGAATGAGGCCAGACTCAAACTAGATAAGTTAAAGCTGATCTGCAGTGTCTTCACCACTCATGGCTTTAAAACTCTGCAGCTCCAGATTGTCCACCCACGTTCTCCACATAGTTACGCTTGAAGGGGAACGGCTTCGCGTTTCGGAGAACGCAAAACATCCTTCAACTTGTACTGTCCCATTTTGCTGTGTCTGTAGTACTGGAAGTACACCACTAGTCCTGCAGCGATGATCACAACAGCGGCAATCACTGCAGCAGCTATAATGTACGGGATGACGTCGGCTGCAGAGGTGGATGAGGGGCGTGGATAAAGAACAAAGGAACAGAGAACATTATACGTCAGACAAATATAAAAAACAGTCATTAACTTACTTCTTGTTTCACATGAACAACTGCGAAAGACTGGACAGGACGAAACTCACCTTGAACATCCACAGCAAAAGTCACGTCGACTGTTCTCCCCATACAGCTGACTGTACAGGTGTACTGCCCTTCATGCTCAAAGTTGACAGAATTGATTGTGAGAACGCTGTCATTGGGGAAGGAAGAGCTAGCTGATGGAACGGTCCAGGTGTAAGAAGGGATGGGGTTTCCCACAGCCGAGCAGTTCAAGCGTAGACTGTGTCCTTCCGTGATTTTGATGGGATTTGGATTTTCTGCGTTCAGTAGACGAGGTCCATCTGTGTGTTGGTTGAGGGAAGAAGGAATAGAGCATTTTATTTCAGCAAAGTGGGAACTAAGTTGAAACTTAAACAGATTATAAACTGACAGACACTGTAAAAAAAAAAAAAAAGCAGAAGTGGATATAGAATAGTCGGGCCAACAAGTCAAGAAGTGGCAGTTAGGTGGAATAAGCAGACTTCTTGTTTGCCAAGAATTGAAGCTTTTATTTACAGTGTTCTCATTCATGTAAAACTAAACAAACAACAACAAAACTAACAAAACAAAACAAAAAAGAAGAAAGAAAAAAACCCCTCAAAACTATTCCATACCTAATCAAACAAAAAGCTTATGTTTCAGCAGCACAACCTCACCTCCATCTGCTCAGGCAGCAAAATCCCAGCTGCTTTTATACACTGATCAGTTTACATCTTTAAAGCTTCAGTCCTAACAGCACAAAGCACGGTGACCCACTCCACAATCTTGATGCCAATTTTAAAAAAACAGCATTATTGTACTCATCTACAAGCTTTTCCCTTTTCAGACGTGTATGTAGAGGCTAATGATTCAAAGTCTTCACTTACAGTCGTCCTCAGATTTATTCAGACCCTTCCATTAAAGAAAAGGAAAAATTCACAAAAGTCACTCAAATAACTAGAAACTGAAAAAAGCAACAATAAAAAAAAATTGCTAAATTATAATTTAGTGTAATAAGACATTGCTTTTGAATTGTGGGTGAAAACAATAAAAGAAAAAAAAAACTGTCCCCAACAAATTAGAGCACTTTGCTGATGAGCAGTGAAATCAAGACACCTGTCAACAGGTGCAGAAGTCTGATTGAGAGTTACAGAAAACACCTGATTGCAGTGATTGGCTCAAAGAGTTGTTCAACTAAATATTAGTTTATGGGTCCCAACATGCTTGTTTGCAAGTGACAACTGTTTTTTTCCTTCTCTAATGGGAGGGTGTGAATACATTTGAGGACGACTGTAAGGATGCATCCAGTAGAAAAGAAACATTTCTACAGAGAGAATAAAACCCCTCAACTTGGTCTGCCCCACGTAATGTCATTCTAACATTATGAACACCAAATAATCAGGAAATGCTTCTCCTTCCCAAACACCGATCCAGCATTGTGAGTCTGAACAAAGGAACAATTAAACCACACCAACCAACCACCACCTAATAGAAGGTCACTGAAACTAGCTGTGTTTGCTTTAATAACTCTTATACTTTGATGTAAAGTCTGACATAATGCTGCATACACAAATCTGGGATGATGTGTGCCGCACTGTTACCATGGCACTGGTTGGATTACAGTAAAAAACACAGAACATGAAAGCAATACTGCGTAATGTGTAAGGGGACAAAGAGTGTGGAAAGGAGGGTTCTCACCCATTTGTCACAGCGGAAAGCACCTAGTTACTCTCACAACAGGACTGTCCCCAACAGCCCAGTCTACTTCACTTTCAGTTTTTGCAGCTATATACTTATACTCTGCTGCTCTTCAGAGAAAAGGATTTTATCACTGAATACACTTTGCAGATGATGTTTTACACAGAAACGACATGATGTATGTGAAGTGACATTAAGAGTTCAGAATCTCAGTCTTCAGAGATGGTTGTCAGTCAAAAAGTCAGCTATAAAAAATGCTATCTGCTCTGTTATCCTGTATTTAGGCACAGTGGGTGTCTGAGCTGATAGCTACCAGCATCATGCTCCAGCTTACACACTGTCTGTGCTAACATTCTGATGTTGAGCAGGTAGAAAATACACCATCTTGGTTTAGTATTTTGGCATGTAATTAATTGCACTAACTATAGTGCAGCTAAAGCTGAGGGGGGCATCCCTGGTTTTGCAGGTATTGGGACATGGACAAAGTATTCGAGCAGGACTTGATCTAAGTACGGTGCCTGATGTAGGCTTTAAGTAGTTACTACAATTTATTCTGAGACTGACAAGAATGCAAAACAGATAGGTGTAGAAGTATTTGAGTCTGGACCAAAGTAGTGAACTGACACACTGACCAGCACTTAAATTCTGAAGAACTGTTTCAGAGCAGCTACTATGATTTCCAGTAAGTCAGTAATAAAATACTGTGGTGTTGACTGAAAAGCATTCCAACCTGGTGCTGAAGTCACGTCACGGGTCATCTAAAAATGCTCAGCTGACATGCAACATGGTTTCTGTCACAGAATTATAGGGAACTGAAATGTTTTTCAAGCGACTTAGCTCAGTGTGCGTCTCTAATTATAATCTAAAATTAGAATATATAATCTAGTAATGTAACCCTCTAAAAGGGGCCATACCACGACGAATACTTCTATACTTGCTTTAACAATATTAAGCAGAATTTGTACTTGTACTAGAGTACTTTAAGTGCCATTTTTCTACACAGTTACTGCTATTGCCTTTTAAGTAGTCATAGCAAACATGTTTTCTTTGTATTTCTGGCCTCCACAAACTTCTGAGGGTCAGACTTTGGCTTGTGTAGCTAAATGCTCCATGAGGTTCACCAGCTAGCTGCTGGTTCTGTCCTGTACATCTGCTGTTTGGTGATGAGCTGATACAGTACAGAGGGTTTTGCCTGCTACGGCAGAAATTGATGGGAATTGAGAGAGAAATGAAACAGTTAAAGCGTGGGCCAGAAAACCAAAATCGATGAAATGAAACGTGCATTAAAGGTCCTTAAAGCTGTGAGAACTGCTCAGTTCAGGAGTCATTATCTGTAAGTTTGTCACTACTCGCAACTTGTTCCACATACAAGTAGGTCCACTGGTTGTGTTTATATGGACTTGAGTGTCCTGGTTATAATCAGGTTCCTGTTTTTGTGTTTGAGCATGTAAACATCATGTTCAGAAACCTGGATCAGTACTTATCCCAGTTTTGAGAAACTTGAATCTGCCTGCTGCTAAAGAAGCAGGGACAGTGTTGCGTGTACACATCTTAACCTGGTTTCTGACGGCTGCCGACAACCTGCACAGGCGCACTTGCATCAGTAGCAAAACTAGTGCTCTCATACCGCTGTTTCCTCTGGTCTCATAAACAGCTCAACTATGTTACACAGCCCCAAACTTTCTCTCCACTTAAGGTCACTGGACTCCAACATGACAATCCTATCGCATCAGCTGCGTATTTGCATCCACTGCTCCCTTGACCAACACAGTGGCAGCAGTCAAATGAATGCCAGCACGCAGTAGTCAGTAACCAAGTAACCTAGCTGCCTCTGTGCTCTATGTAAATGCCACAAATATGACCAAACTGGAATGAGCCTCATAACCAGGACACTTGTGTGAATACAATTAGTATAAAAGTGTTGCTGAGAGCAGCCTGTGTTGTTACTGTACGACTGTTGTTTTCGTCAGACTCACAGTAGACTGTGGCAGTGATGTTTTCTGACGCCACCACTGGAGGACGTTGTGGTCCTTCAGGTCCCAGTTCCAGTTTGGCTTCACACCAGTACTGGGCTCCGTCATCTTCTTTACTGACGTTAATATTCAGAGTGAAGGTGTCGCTCACTGGTTTTAGTTGGCTAATCCTGGACTTTTGTTGGTCCAGTGCCGTCTGTCCTCTGTAGAAGGTCACAACAAGGTTCCCAACAGGAGCTACGTTCTCTACAGTACACTGCAGAGTATACTGGTTGTGCTCAAACATCGGCCCAGTGTGATTTATAAAGCTGAAGGACACACTTTCTGGAGGCTCTGGAGAGAAAAAGACAAAGATGTCGAGCGAGACACACAAGGCAACTGTGACTGTATGTTTTCAACACATAAAGAGATCAAATTCTGTAAATCAAAGATGAAACCTTCATTAGAAAGAGTATTTTGTTAAACAGCAAGTTTACTTACGGTAGACGATTACAGGCAGGGTGCTGCAACACTGCTTATTAGTATCAGTGTTGTAATAACAATCTGGAGATGGATCCCATTCGGTCAATGAGCCAACCGTCCACAACAACGTGGTTCCGTTTCTTGTGACGTCTCCCACAGATTTCTCCAAATTATATAATGTGTTCTGGCAAGCACCCGTACATGCAACACATTCAGCAGAGGCTGAGTCACCGTACTTCACTACCAGTCTGGATGGAGTGAACACAGGTTTGTCTGCACAGTTAAAATCTGTAAGAAACACAGTAAATGTTGTGATTTTGGACATCTTCACACATCATTTTCACACACAACATCCTTTATGAAATCTAATGTTAATGAGCGCTACATATTGTATTTTGATACTGTGTACTCATATTTTTCCTAAATACAGTGTGTGTCTTTACACATTCCTTAGTTTAATAAGTATTTAACAAAACATATTTCAAGTTTGGTGAGTTCTCATCAATCACAGATTCAATGAATAAGGTTCATGTTCGAGGGGCTGGTTTACGTTCCAACACTTCAAAGAGTTTGCTGAATGTTAGGAACTTTCCCAACAGATTATAATCCACAAACTCTGAGTGAGTATTACAAAGATATTCTGAGCAACACAGTGAATGCTTTGATCATTTGCTCCAAAGTCCAATTTGCTTTATTACCCTATTTACAACAACATACAGTCTTCCTCAAATGTATTCATACCCTTCTATTAAAGAAAAGGCCAGATTCTCAATAGTCACTCAAATAACTAGAAACTGAAAAAAGTAATAATAAATAAAAATTTGCTAAATTATAATTTAGTGAGATAAGATGCTGTTTTTGAAATGTGGTTGAAAAGAATAATTTAAAAAACAAAAACTCTCCCAGACAAGTTAGAGCACTTTGTTGATGAGCAGTGGGCCAGAATCCAAATACCTGTGGTGAGAGCTACCGAAAACACTTGATTGCACTGATTGGCTCACAGGGTTGTTCAGCAAAATATTAGTTTACAGGTCCCATCATGCTTGTTTGCTTGTTTTTTGTTGTTTTTTTTGTTGTTGTTTTTTAAAAAAAATATTCCTGTTGAACCACAACTCAAAAGCAATGTCATGATTTTCTTTTTCTTCTTTTTTTAAAAATTCATTATAACTTTTGTCAATTTCAACTTATTTCAGTGACAGCAGCTTTTTGTCCTTCTTTAATGGGAGGGTATGAATACATTTGAGGACGACTGTATGTTGTACAAGGTTTACAACGAGTAGAAATCAGAACATAGGAAAAGAGAGATGAACATACAGGTGATCTCTCTATGTTGGCTTCACAATACTATTACGGTTATAGTTTATAAAGTGCAGGTGCATTATAATCTAAAATGAAAAACCGTAAATGACATGGGCCCAGGTGTCATTTGAATACTGGGAGGACAGATTAAGCTTTGAGGTTAAACATTAAGTTTGAATTTTAAGCACCGCTTTTTGCCTTTCTGTATCAATTTATGTGAATGTCTTTATTTATGTAAATTTAAAAAAAAGAAAAAAAAAACAGCATTCAAGCACCAAGTAGCAATTTAAATTATACAGGAAAATATATGAATCTAACTACATTTTCTATAGATTTGGTGGTTGAATGAGCTCATAGTTTACATTCATAGTTTTTGCAGTAAGCAAAGAGCCGGTGACCCACGCCCAGCCACCCCTCTGGTAAAGAGAAGACACATTTAGCAAACAAATCTGTTAAAAAATAAAATAGTATGACGTCTCTTTTATCAGAGACCTAAGTTCTAAGTCCCTACATTAACTACAGTTCAAGCAGAACATTAAGCTGTATGGCACATCCCAGTAAGAAGCTCCGCTAATGAAACGCTCTCTCCGGGTTCCGCGGAGCGTAAAGTACGCACAACTCACCGCAGCCAGACACATGGAAGTTGCGCAGAGAGCCCATCAAAAAAACAGCCACAACCACGTAAGAGAACATGTTGTCCAGTTAGTTCAGCTGGTAAACGAGTAGATTGGTGGTTAAATAAATCCGCTGAGTCCAACGCTGGTCAGAGAGTGGCTCGAACTGAAAGTAAAAACGATGAAAAGTGTCCAAAGATATAGAGGAGCTCCCTCCCTGTTGGCCTCTGTGTGCGCTCTGAGCGGCGCCAGGCGGCTTTCTGCTCTCACTCCCCCTCACTGACATGAACGAGGACAAACGAAAACGAAACTGCAGAGAATTTCGGAAGGGCTGTGATTTTCGGGAAATGCCAGCAGGAGTGACTGATGACCTGGTTCATGGTCCACAGCACTGACCTGACTGAACCCAC